TAATAGGGCGTGGTACCGGCTGGCGTCATTCCGTGAAGCCATGGCCAGCGAGTGTAGTGACTAACCACTGTCACAAGCTGGTCATCCCACGGGCGTATCCTGATAAGAAAGTAAGTAAAATCTGCAATGATTTCAAATAGAATATGTAGGTATAGTTCTTATGTTGCTGTGTTTGTACTATTTTAGTTTATCCTTCTCATCGGAGCGTCCCATTTGCGGTCCTTCGTGGACGGCATTGTTGAGATGCCAAGTGGCTGCCTACAGTTCGGCTTTATGTCCACCCCTGGAGCCTGCGCAGCCGACTTGCATCTTGAGGCAATGAAAGCCAATGTGCCTCGGGAGCCTGACGCCGTCTGCGTCATGGGTCCTTCAAACGACCTTACGGCCAGTCTTACACCAGAAAAGGCGGGACAGGAATTTGAGCGGTTCCTTTTGGCCGTCTGTAGTCGTTGGCCTAAGGTGGGCACTGTTGGTGATAAAAAATCAGTGTTTCTCAATACCAGTTCACAGATACCACTGGTCAGCATGTTTTAGAATTTTCTCTTCTGCTACTGAAGCATGCAGAGTAATAGTCTTTGACGACTTCAATATAGAAACAGTGATATAAAAATCAATTCCTTAACAGGTTATTATTTTCCTAGGTGTTTGGAATATATATTTCTAAATCGGTTATTTTTTCTAGGTCTTTTGTATCGGCTTTGTCCCGCGTTTAACCGAGTCCAGAGAGAAACAGTTATTCTACCAGCAAGAATTTCACCGCAGGTCAGCAAAGCTAGGTAGGTATTAAAATATTTCACATTTTGTTTTTGTTTGGTAATGTATTTCAGTTCTTTTTATGTTATCTTTGCTGATTTGGTCTTTGCAACGTTTTCTTTTTATTTTGTCATTATCTTTTCAGGAATTCCTTATTATTCCACCGCTGACCACTTTCCTCTGGACCGTCTGAGTCTGTGGTGCCGTGATGGCGTGAGTATTTATTCATTTTTAACACAGTAAGGAATATATTTGCATTAATGTGAAATGTTAATTTTATCTCTGATTACCGCTTATATGTGCAGATCCACCTAAGCGATGACCACGGGATGCACATCCTCAGGGATCTGATTTGGAATGCTGGCTATCAGTTCCTGGAGTTGTCAGCACCAAAGCCACTGGTGCAGAGTCAGGCAACTCCTGCGTACAAACCGAGGGTGGTGCCCCGTGTGGTTGTGAAGGGCGTGGGGAGTCTTCCTCGTTCTCCTCCTGCTCCACACCCTTCTGAGTGGACAATCGTGAGATACGGCAGGAAGGTATTTATCTTTTGTTGTCTTGCAATGAAAGAAAGGCGTTTATTTAACTATGGCTAGTCATCCTAAAAACTCTTATATGTGCTCTACCTTTACAGAGGAATCACTCGGGGGAATTGGACTCTGTCTCTGATTCACCCAAGAAAAGAGTGTTTCATTACCAGGTCCGTTATGCTTCCGGCTATTCATGAAATTGTCAATGTCAATAATCGTTACTAATTCAAATTTTGCTTTTATAGAGCGATGGAACTCCTGTGGCTTTGAGGGAATGTTTCATCAAATTAAATCCTGTCCGTTTCTCACCCGCTATCTTGGTTGCCATGGAAACAGTCTCTCCATCGGCTCTTCCAGATGTTCGCACAGGCACCGATGTAATTAGCACAATACTGCAATTACTAATATTCTTAGTATTTTCTTTTATAAATAACACAAACCCTCAATGTTGTTTGCGGTGTTGCAGACAAAGCCTGTGGAACATAAAAAGAAGCGAGCTCCCAAAGTTGCCATGGAAACAGTCTCTCCATCGGCTCTTCCAGATGTTCACACAGGCACCGAGGTATTTTCCAGAATACTCCAATTACTAACATTCTTAGTATTTTTATTTATAAATAACACAAACCCTCAATGTTGTTTGCGGTGTTGCAGACAAAGCCTGTGGAACATAAAAAGAAGCGAGCTCTCGTGGTTGCCATGGAA